ACATGAAAATTTGTATTAAGTATGGAATTATACAAATTCCATATTCATCGTTTGCCCACGATTTTGGGCAGAAATGGGTTAAAACCCGGCGGCATTGGTAAAAACCTCGTTTGAAACACGGGCTATTAAACCCATTTCTGCTTACCACTCATTCGCACGTAGCGCTTTACTTCATCTTTCAGAAAGGGAATAAAGGTTTTTTGGCGACATCTGTATTTCCCGACAGCTACAATTTGGGGCTATTCAGGGGTAGAGCGAATAGACATTTACTAGATAAACACGTAACATCGTCGTTCACTATCAGGTGAGATTGTGGTCAAGCGTTCGTCTATTTACCATTAAAAACAAAAATCTTTCAACACCCGTGGTGTAATAAGGTCATATCTGCAAAATTACAACTTCTCAGGAGAGAACTGTAAAGATTCTCCGAACGAAGTTGGTGAATTACTTTTTTATACTGTATATAAGTAACAGTAGAGCTCCTTGTGAAAGAATTCGTCGAGGGTAGTTCTACCATCTTACCTATTGTTAATTTATGTCTCAGGGTAATGGGTACAGTGGCAGTGCCCCTCAGATCTTTGTGATTTAAAGCTCTGAGTGGCACTGTAATTGTTACGGACAGGCGTGTAGCTTATCATCAGTTGCACGACTTGTTCGTCCCGTCACTTGATATTATAAAAAGAATACTTCAAGGAGGGTTATAATATTTAACATATACATAATTTGTGATAAACGCACTTTAGACGTCTGATAATATTTGGTACGAATTTAACGAAAGCGCTGGTAGCCTAGTGTGAGAACAAATGTGTCACATTGGGAGTTCGATGGTACGAATCACCGTGGCGGCATGTACCGTGTACCATGTACTGTTTTCACAATTTTAACGCATATATTATGTAAGTGGTAACGTAATTGCTTCTTGTACTGTATCAATAATCTGTTCGTTCTGACATATTTTGTGCGTTTTAAGGACATAATTGTCAATTTGTCACGGCTACTATGTTCCGTGTCACGTGTGTTCTGTTGCCGGATCCGCTGAAAATCAGCGTCGTAGCACCATAAGTGAGACGACAATAAGCTGAGTGAATCACGGTTTCCTTGGCAGCACAGCACACACGCGTTGTACTCTTCTATATATTTGTAGTTAATACTATTTTTATTGTTATTATTACAAAATGCATGTGTACTGTGTTGTCTACTTAAGGAATAAATGTTTTCGATTCTATTCTAGTCTATTCTACCTCTAAATTTAATGTCTAGGTTACGTACATTGTGAATGTTTAGTAGCGATAACTTTAGTAGCAGTAGAGGTCCTTGTGAAAGAGTTCGTTCTGGGAAGTACTGCCATCTTACCTATTTCTGCCGCCACGCAGTAATGTGAGCATTCCTGCGCTCCAATTCTGAAGAGCACACAGGTGACATTATATGCACATGGGACTTGTCATCTTAAGTCGCAGGCGGGCGCAGTGGTAGTACATCTTTGCCATTAAAAACTTTGAGTGGCATTGTAACTGTTATGGATAGGCGTGTCGCTTACCATCAAGCGCATGACTTGTTCGTCCCGTCACTTGATATCATAAAAAAAACCTGTTGAGTCCGTGGTCCTTAATAATGAGATTCCGCGATGGTGACTTGACGGAAATTGCACGCTAAAGCTCTAACAGTGACCGAGCACTCAGCACGGGCGGTGACAAGCAAATACCTTCGTTTGCTTCAGTCTTATCAAAGTCATACCCAGGATTGCACACAACACTCTTCTTCTTCTTCCTGTCCTTATCCCCCGCTAGGTGGGATCGGCACACCATGTATTTTTCTTCCACTTTATCATGGTCACTGTTAGTCACTTTATCCGGCACGATACACACGTGCAGGCGAGTCTTGGGGCCTAAATGATGGTATTTGGGCCCCCTTATACCCCACTACACTAACAATGTCATTTTCTAAACTCTCATCCACACTAACCACTGACGTAGTACGAGTTAAATACGTTAGTTTATATGTCTGAGTATTATGGTAGTTTTCTATTCAATAAAGACCCGTTGAAAATTAAGTTCACAAGCTCCTTGAACTTATCGGATTTCCTTCCAACGATCGCTGTGATGAATAATTCCCACCATTAGGCTAATAGTATTAAATTATTCCATCCAACGGGCTCAGTATGACGCAAGAATATGATTACCATACTTGAGAATTATAATAATAATAATAATATTGTAAATGATTCCGTTTCTTAAATCAAACGAGGTTATAGTGAAGCCTTATAATACCAATATTTAAGACTCGTTGAAGTAAACGCAAATGAATACACGGAATAGTAACATTATGAATGTTTTATGAAAAATAATAATAAACGTAACATTAATACGAGTGATAAAAATAAAGTGGTTGTTCTTGACAATCGTCTTCACAAAGTCACAGGAAATGTATAACGTTTCTATAATAAGATTCCGGTTGATGTTCAAAATTTGTCATTTACGAGGTTAAACGGTATAGGGAACCAAAAACTTCACACTATAGGTTATGACGTGATTATGGATGACAAAAATCTACGGTAGTGGTTTAAGCATAGACCGTTCAATTAAGAAGCGACCATTGTCCCACCTCTCAATTGAGTGACTAGTACATAAATACATATACTCCTATAAGTAAATCAAAATGGGTCACACGTCGTAGAATCTTGGTGCTCACAAAATTATGTAAAAACCCTCTGATCCAAATAAATTCGAAACTGGTGAAACTTGCTGCCAAATGGTTGCTTTAACGTTGCCAAAGTTCCACTTGTGCTTGTAATGGTTATGCATTATGCACTGGATTTTAACAGGGGTTTGTAGCATCTGACTCCGAATGAGCCCAAATGCGAGTATTGTGTGATCCTGGCAGGCCATCATTTACGCTGTTAAAAATTACCAATGTTTACCAGACGGTCTCCTTCCAAACTCCTAGGTCTTGTTCTTAAGATTGTCTGGCCGGAAGAAAATTTGGGATGAAAAGTATCGGAACGGTAGCTTATTTAAACCGCATTTAGCAGTAGAGCTCTTTGTTAAAAGAGTTGTGTTGTTGTAAAAGAGTTAATCTGGGAAGTTCTGCCACCATACCTATTCCTGCTGCCAAGCCGTAATGTAAGCATTAGAGCGTTCTGGTTTTGTAGGATATTGGTGCTGGTGAAACTACGGACACAGGTGACTTTGTCTGTGAGTGACGGGCGCAGTAGCAATACCCGCAGATCTTTGCGACTTAAAACTGGGAGTGGTACTGCAACTTTTATAGATATGTCGCTTACCATCAGGCACACGACTTGTTCGTGCCGTCACTTTATAGAATAAAAAAGTTTTAATTAAAGTTTCAGTGCTATTTCGTAACGAATATATAGGTATGCAAACTTTGACATTTGCAATAGTACATTACAATATTTTTATCTTTAAATCCAAGTTTACGCAGTGTGTAGTTACGTAGACGATGGTCTTTAATCAGAATTTCTCACTAATGCCTTAATAAAAATGGAAGTAAATTACTTTCCTACCCCGCGAACTCAGTGAAGGTTTAATCGTACAAAATGGTAACGCTTGTGTTGAATATTTTTGTCATGCAGTTCTCCCTTTGCATAAAATTGATGAAGTAAATAACATAAGCACAAATACAGTCACAAATACCTCCACCAAAATTATACAACTGACACGTGTTTCGCCTCCATTACGTTTGGGAGTTCTTGGTTGTTCGACGCTTGGCCGAAGAATGAGCTCTCAATGAGTTGATCATATTTATGCCCCACTACCTCCACTATTGCAATCATTATAATTTGAAAATACCCGCAATAAAGGTGATGGACGTAACATTCAATTGTTCATTTATTATAGTTTAGAGTTAACTATTGTTGATCCAATTGCAGTTTCCAACAAAATTACAGTAAATTATTGATTAATAGCTTAGTTCAAAAGAAACAGAGCCGGTTTTATGCGGTTAAATTTTACCAAGTTCGATTAATGTCGTGAAGCTTAAATGGAACTCCAGCGAGATTGTGACTTTTCTATTCCAATTTTAGGTATACATATATTAACGTTCAATCTGCACCCGCCCTAAATTTAAGATTTTCTGTGGGAAAAAATATTATAGAGATTGCCAAATAGGCTATGTCAGTATTATTTATATTATACGAGCATTTTCGTGCAATGTAGATGGTAATGGTTTATTCGATATGAATTTTGGGGTAATTATAATTATATCTATGTCATCTGGGATAACCACGGCATCATCCTAGGTACCATATGAGAACAAATAACAGAGGATTTTCCCCAGCTACTATTACAAGAATGACACATCTTAACCACAGCCAAATAAGTATCTCAGCTTTGACAATTTTCTGCTTTTGCAATGCTTACGCTAAAGGTTGTCCGTTATTGAGCTGATCGGGTGGAGATTTGACAGAAAACATGACTTTGTCGCTGATCTCCCCTTTGCTGCCGCGGCCAATGAGCGGCAGATGTATCTGCGTGCCTTTCGACTCCATCTTCAGGCTGGACGTCATCGTTGCATGACCATCGTGCGGTAGGGTGCTCTGCAACAATGAAACACGACAAATGACTTGATTGCAGCACTGAATGGCAATTTCGTAATGACTCAAATGGCTTTTGGAAGTTAATACCTCACAAGACTGTTGATGGAGAATACAATAAGAATTACACGTTATTAATGGAAGAAATAGTCAAACATACTTCTAAATGTGACCCGTAGGTCAGTGGTGAAAGGTTTGTCTTGATAATAATGAATGACGTCTGAAAGTTGTTTAAAGCAATATGACACAGATATATGCGGTTGTGTCCTCCTCCCATCCTCATGCGGTCGTTGTTGGAGTACCCTGGCTGTGATAAATTTAAGCACTAGAACTTAACACATATGGGATTTAGAGGCGTGGTGTACAATTTAAAGTATTTATTTTCTTACAACTTCTTTACTAACATAGGATATAAGTTTTCTGTAAGTACAGCCGGATTTAGATTTCTCTGACGTGTCGTGTCGTGATGCGTCAGAATGGTATCAGTTTCATAGATTTAATATGGTTACATTTATATTAGTGTGTCGCAATCTGACGTGACGGCTTGTTTTGTGTGTATGAAACAGACACGACACGACGCGTCAAACAAATATAAATTTTAATCGGTTTAACACGATTTGGACAATGTCTAAAATAAGTTTTTGATTTTATTGATATGCTCGTTTTTATATAAATTTAAGGCCTGGAAGAACTTATTCCTGTTCTGAATACTAAAAATTTAGGTAAGATAATAAATCGTCCAGCTTGAACAAGCCGTACAACGAATTAAATTAGTAGTAGTTACACCCTCTAAAAGATAACAGTAGTGATTTTTGTGTAGGCCTTGTTATCGATTGTCTATAAAAAGGAGTATTTATTAACGAACGTCATAGGAAGTGATCAATGGAGTAAGCCACCTTCCACGATACGACATTAATATTAAAAAAATGTTGTCTGAGGGAAAATAAGTGGTCGCAGATCAGGATATATTATTGACATAGGAAAAATCGACTCATCCAAAGAACAGAGTCCGATGTGATTATACAGCGAAAATAGGATAAACACATAATCCAATTATTCAAAATAAGGCCAGTCAATATTAGGTGTTTTCAGAATTTTTAAATCATATTATCGGAAATATAAAATCGAACACCGGTCCACAGCGAAGAACAACGACCGAAATGTGCAATGTCCTAAGAATAAGCAGTCTTGCGCATAGGTCTTTGTTCTATGGAGGAGTCGAAATATTCAAAGCGCTACATCGTCAAGAAAGACAGTGCTGGGTATTCCTCTGCTATTAAAGCAATCGTTGAGTTGATAAAAGCATACATTAGACAATATCACATATATTGCTCTGATCCCAAAGTAAGTAACTAAAACACTATTGTTATGGAAATCGGAAACAACGACGTACGAAACGAACTTGATCTTTCATAAATTCTGAATTGTAACTGGAGGTGGAATTAAAAATACATATTCTTGAAAAATATGTAGTAAACAGAAATCAAAACATCTAAATGCAGCCATTATTCACCTTTAGGTTTATATCTATGCCCATCCTGAAATTATCTTTTAAGAAGAAAAGCTTTTACTAAATACTCCTGATATACTGACAGCGTGTCACCTTCCACATTGTTATAGCAAAATACGATTGCAAACCAAGACTCTTGACCTTTACCCTCGTTAGGAAAATCCCAAATGTAGATGTATTCATCCTTCTTCCGATCCTGGATTCGACAAAAAACGGTGACGTCAAGTGGTGTATAGCTACATAATGTTATATGTATATGCCTTCTCCGTATGTATTTTCGAGATATCCTTCTGTGAGTGAATCAATAGTAATTATATTATATGTATATGTAAGGGGTGTTCTGTTGATAGATGACGTTATCGACCCCAGTTTGTTCGGTATAATTCGAAGTTCCACACACTCTTTTCCGGTACCACGAGAGCGGCAGATACAATACCGCAGGGAATAGAATACGATAATAAAATACGAAATCGTTATCTGATAGGTTTCGTGTAGCCGTTCCCAAAAAGACGCGACGCGCAGTCTCATCATGTCCCATAATCAAAATTCTGTCGAAGAAGTTACCATTCGAAAGAAAAATTTTAACATCGCGATTCATTATTTGCATAAAACGGCTCAACGCCATCAAGTGCCTCTCTAAGAAACTACAAAATAAGTTGATTGCTTATTACTACTTACTATATTGCATAGTATAGATAAGTTACACATACAAATAATGATAGTCCACCGAGGCAGAGCTAATGAATTCAGACGCTTCTACCTATTTTTTTATTAAATTCAAGCAACGGAAGGAATAAGTCGTGGTCCTGTTGATAAGTGATCACGCCTACCCACAAAAGTTACAGTGTCACTCAGAGCTTTAAATAACAATGATCTGAGAGGTACTGCCACCACCCTATCACCCTGAGACATAAGTTGTCAAGTACCATAGGCTTGTAATTTCATCAGCAGCGTTACCCTTCAAAACCGGAACACAGTAACGGTCCATTACTAAGCAGGCGGCAAAAATAGGTACTGTGACAGTAGATTCCTGGACGAAGTCTTCCACTAGGGGCTCTACAGCTAGTAACACCATCTCCTGCAGAAGCTTACCGCTAAGCAATCAGGAAATAGCTGTATAAATCTCAGTCATCACCGTCTTATACAGGCTAGATATTTGAAAGTGAGACATACTTATAGAGTGCCTTATATTCCTGATTCTGAACCCAAAAAAATAATAAACTAATGAACTTAAAAAAAAAATATTTTATTTTATCGACTACTACTTGTGGACAACATTACATATCGAAATCTATGCACACCAATATTATTGCTCCGACAGATGCAGCGGCGAGAACAAATCACAAATCAGCACTGTTTGCAGAGACAGTGCACGCGCGACCTTGGCGTAGCGAAGACACGTAAATTATTTGTACTTCCGCTCGCACGAACACTGCGCCGGCGGCGAAAGCGCTCGTCGCCTGCAAAATGGATATTTGTTCTAACGTCGAATTGACTGAGATGGTGTTACTTTACGCAATAAATGGTGATAGTGTGAGGCGAGCTATTGTAATGTTCCCAAACTGGAGTTAACGCGGAGGAGGTGAACAGTGTCGAAGTTGTTGCATGAGAGGATTATCTCAGCATTTTATACTGTGAGACAAAATGTGTTTGTGTTGATCAATTTAAAACAAAATTTACTACGACGTGCTAGACTACGCATTGTGGAAAACGGTGGACATTTTGAACACTTGCTCCGTAACACGTAATTGTAAATAAACTGCAAATAACTAAAGAATTAATCTGTGTTTATAATTGGATTTCACAATTCAATTCAATTCTTATTAAATGATAACTTAATTATATTTTT